AAGTATTTATATGTTATATAAATAATATAAAAATTTAGATAAAATGAAGTGGAAGAAAAGCAAACGACTGACCTTCGAGAGATGAAGGGCACAATTCCAAAGGTAAGCCCGCAGGCGGCCTGGACGAAGAGCGAGAAGAGCACAACAACAAGAACCGAAAAGCTTAAGCTTCCCATCCTCCCCAATACGATACACAGAACCCCGCCGACGGTCTGAACGATGCACAAGCCCCACAGCCTCCCTCTCATCCCGAACCTCGCCGCAAGCCGGTCCGAAATCCACCCTCCTCCAGGCCGCGACACCACATTTGCCAGGCCGAAGCTTGCTGCTATTATCCCCGCCGTGTGAAGATTCACATCGAATCTGTCGTAGTAGTACTCGGCGATGATGTTGTCTACCGCCAATTCCACCCCGAAGCAATATCCATACGTAATCGCCAATATCCATCCCCTGTAATTGGTGATAGCGCTGTAAAAAACCTTACAAAATTCATCCTTTTGCATCTCCCCGGACTTCTTCAACGCCCCAAAGTTCCCGTCGGGAAAATCCTGCCCCATCGCCAACACGCCAATGGCCGACACCATCTGCACAAAACCTGGTACGAAAAACGCCACCCTCCACGCCGTGAACTCCGCGCACCCCATCTTTCTTATAAGCGAAAATATGAAAGGCATGATCAACTGAATCGCTCCGCCTCCAAGATTCCCCCACCCGCCCACCAATCCATTCGCTCCTCCCACCCTTGGTGCCGAGAACATCGAACTCATCCAATACTGCGTCGATACGAATGACGCGATTGAGAATCCGGTGAAGAAGCGCGCGAGGAGGAAGCCGGCGGGGGTCGAGATGGTGGAGGTGAAGAAGACGGCGGGGGCGGTGAGGAGAGTGAGGGAGGCGGAGGCGAGTCGGGGGCCGACGAGGTCGCATGCGGAGCCCATGGCGAGACGGGCGAGGACGGCGCCGGAGACGGCGGCGATGCCAGCGTTTCCGATGTCGGTGGCGGTGAGGGAGAGATTGTCGCGGATGATGGGAAGGAGAGGGGGTGAGGCGAAGGTGGAGCAGAAGCAGGCGAAGAAGGAGAACCAGGAGAGGTGGAAGGATCGCATGTGCGGGGGAGCGAAGGAGAGGATGCGAATCTCTGTTGCTTTGTGCTCGGAGTCAACTGGGAGGGAGAATTTAGGGGATGCTGTTGACTCGTTGTCTCGATAGAGATCCATTGGAGAGTGTTTGGGTGGTGACGGCGGTGGTGCTGGTTCCATGATCGTGGGAGAAGGCTAGGGAGGGGGAAGGGGGGTTTATATAGGAACAGGGGAATTAAAAAAGAAGATTTTTTGGGGGATGGAGGAGGTGAGTTGATTGGAAGAGGTTGTCTGATCTGAATAGTTTGTGATTGCAGGGAGATGTTGGATGGAAGGCAAGTTGGATCTAGATAGCTTGATCGAGGAGTTGACTTTCGGAGGATGGGGGATTTGAATGAATTGCAAGTTTCAGGGGAGGCAGGGGAGGATATTATAGAATCGAAGGAGCGGTGGGCAGGGGAGCAATATTTTCCGCTTTGAAAAGCATTGCATTTAACTCTGAGAAATTTTTGAATCCTTTTGGAGCGATGCCGGTGAAAGCAATTGATGAAAAATCCATTAATCCTGTAGGATCTTGATGGAGGTATAAAAATAAAAAATTTCAGTATTCATTTGAAGATCTAACTTGAAATTAAAAATGATATTTGGACGAGCTGAGCCTAATAACGTCGAGAGTGCTCGGGTTAGAGTTCAAATAACTTCAAATAAATGTTTGATGGGTATTAAGAAATTTTAGGACACTATTTAATGAATTAAATGATCATCTAATCTTTGCATTTTTATAGTTAAAATGAGCACCTTAAGGAGGTCAAGATAACTCAATTTCGATGTCATTAAGGTAGTTAAATGTCTTGAAATGATGTTGGATTGAGAGGATTCAAATGGATCTTCAAATAGATTGTTTGAGATTTTTTTTGAAATTATTAAAAATGTAAACAAAAAATTATAAATAGATCCTCATTTATAAGATGAAGAGGGCATGAAATAAGAGAAATCTTGGAGATTTAAAGAACTGTTATGTGTGGAATTTGATTGTGTTGATCAATTTGATTATTCTGTTGTCTCGGACCTCAAAGCATATCTCTTTTTATCTGTTGTCTCGGACCTCAAAGCTTATATTTTAATAGAAGTCAATAGTATATATATGATATGCATAAGAGCAAACAAAATATCGATATTATGTTTAAATGAACATTTTTGTTTATTTTTTGATATTATTAAAATTTTAATTGATAATTTTTTAATGAATAAGCATTATACCTAAAATTAAAGGGAAAGAAAAAAAATAACAATTCAAAGTTTATCCTTAAACATAGGCACGCTTCAAAGTTCGAAAGTAAATATCATAGCTCTATATTTTTTGTTTAAAAATATATATATTTAAACTATTGAATTCTATTAAAATATGATATGGAAATTATAATTTACACTAACTCTATATTTTTTCTTTTTGTATATTTTTATTTTTAAATTATTTTTTTAAAATATATGTATTCTACCTATATTATTTTTAAATTATTTTTTCAGAATTTACTGTAACAAGTCGCATGTTTAACGAGCAACTTACAATAGTATTTTTTAAATACATCGTCTATCTTCGGCGACTAACACTGAATCATGTGTTAGTCGCCGAAGATGATTCAGCAAATTTAAGTCACATAAGTCACCCATTTGATGGACGACTTTGCCTATTTTTAAATTTATTATTTTTGATACTTAATTATATTTACAAATTTAGGCTTATTGATATGTATATGGCTACTATTCATTGGGTAGTGACATGCATTTTGACCTTTGTAAGTGGCATGCATGTTGGCATTATACTTCTACATGCATAGGACTAGCGCTCTATATATTTACATGTCATGATGATTGTATATAAGATGTGTAAAGGAAACCTTATAGGATGTATTTTATCAAAATGTAGATATGATATGATATGCATAAGAGCAAACAAATGAATGAACTTATGTCTTAGGTGAGATGGATGAGATTGATATTGATATGACTAATAAGATGATATATGAGTATATTGATAGTTGCATCAAATATATATAATGTTTATTATTATGATGATTAAAATGAAGTGTGTGTGAAAATATTATCTTATACAAGAGGGTATGTCGGCGGGCTTTCTTTAAAATAAAGGTTGTGGTTTCAACTTGGATGTTAGCCTGTATCGATTGAATGATTACACCGATGGACATAGAGTGATGGCTCTTTATGGATAAATCGATTAGATTGATTATTTATGGACATACTATTAAATTGGTGGATGACAAATATGATAGATAGATATAACGAATAATAAATACGACAGATTGATGTATATATATATAACCAAGCCATCCCTCCCCCTCATTTTTGATGGCTTGCTGGAAGTAGCCAAGGAAGGGAAGAAGAGAATGAATGGGAGAAGAGGAGAGAGTGAAGAGAGAGGAAGCTCTCCAAGATTTTTCATTCATCGCTTCTATTATAAAAAAAAAAAAATTCTAATTATTATAAGTGACATCTATTCTACATTTGTTTTCAATCGTTTTGAGTTTGATATATTTCTCTCCTAAGAGTGATAAAAATGTGATATCTCCTAATTTAGTAAATTTCCACCATGTAACATTTGGTATGTGATAGATATAATCTATCTAAATATTTTGATTAACTTATAGGATGATTTCACCAATTAGTTTTGTATGTATATTATTTTACCTAAAATAAGCAGGAAAATATTGTGAAATGATCAAGAAACAATGTACTGAATCTGTATATGAATCATTGATATTCATATGGTTACTATTCATTTGATAGTGACATGCACTTTAGCATTGTACTTATACATGCATATGATGAACGTATTGTAGATTTACATGTCATGATAATTGTATATATAATATGTACATGAAATCATACAGGATGTCTTTTATCAAGATGCATAGGAGCAGACAAATGAATGAATCGATATCTTAGTTGGCACGGATGAGATTAATACTTATATGATTGGTAAGATGATATATGAGTATACTGATAGTTGCATTAATTATATATGTTGTTTATTATTATTATGATTAAAATGAAGTGTGTATATGTGTGCTTCTTAGCTGTACAGAAAGATGAGCCAATGAGTTTTCCTTAAAATAAATATTGTGGTGTCAACCTGTATGTTAGCTTGTAACAAATTGATTAATTATGCATACAAATAAAGAGTGACGATTCTTTATTGATAGATCGATTAGATTAATTATTGATGTATATACTATTAAATTGGTGGATGATATATATGACAAATAATTGATAAGATAAATGATGGATATCATGGGTGACTGTTAAGGCGATAGATGATAGATGATTTAGTGAGGTCTGATTTCTGTAGAGATTGATTGATTGATTGATTAAATGATATAAGAAACATGATTGATATATAGTTAGAATATTTCTAATATGATATATGATAAGATGAATAAGATTGATACAAGGCAACTAATATATATATTTACACTACATCTTATGTTATTATTGTGCATTGATTTTAATTATGGATACTTGTTACTTGCTGAATTTTTATGCTTATTATGTGATTTTTATATTTGGACAACGTGCTTAATTTTTCATTTTCACATATCAATTATTCTTTTGTAGTCAAAATGTGTAATAGTGATGTGGACCAGTTTATTTGTACCATGATTATTGTACATAGGGGTGTCAATTTCAGGTCACGGGTCGGGTTCGGGTCGAACCCGAAACTTACCCGGCACTATTCGGGTCATCCCGAACCCGACCCATTTTTAAAAACGGGTCAGTTTTTTTGACTCGAACCCGACTCGCTTCGGGTCCGAGTCAACCCGACACGACCCGAATGATCAATTTCCAACAAGAAAATGGCTAATTTTTGGGTCAAAAATGGGTCAATCGCCTCTTTTCGGGTCAAAAATGGGTCAAAATCGGTCAATCTCAGGTTGCCGGGTCAAAATCGGGTTTTCGGGTCAAAATCAGGTCACTTTCGGATCAATTTCGGGTCAAAGGGTTAACCCGAACCCGACCCGATTTTTGAAATGGGTCGAAATGCTGAACCCGAACCTGACCCGTTTCGAGTTGACCCTAACCCGAAATTTTCGGGTCAGGTTCGGGTCGGGTTTTCGGGTCGTGTCAAATATTGACACCCCTAATTGTACATATGCTATTTTGAGTTTGTATCAAGTTATTAATATTATAAAAATGCATTTATGTTTTCCCACATCTATATTTTGTTGTTTAAGTAAAATTAGTCGACTTTGTTTGATGTTTAAATTAAATGATAAAGAAATGTAATTCTTCATGCTTAGATTCTAGGGGGATTACATTTAGAGGGATCATAGTCGATGAGTGATAGAGGTTGGAAGAATCGTAGTCGGGCTTCGGTGGTCGGAAGATCGTTGTCGGCGACTATTAAGCTTAGAAGAACCGCAGGCCTGTAGTAAGGTGACAGTGATCTGAGGACCGTAGTCGACGAGCGACAAAGGAAAGAAGGACCATGATTTAGTGACAATGGCCTAAAAATCGTAGTCTGACAAATATAGTCAGAGGACTGTAGTTGCTAGTTCAAATAGTTAGTGTTTATGAGGTTCCTATTAGATGTTGAGCAAGTCATTAAAGGTCTATAAATAAATTATCCGATAGAGCACTCTGAATGTGCTCTAAATCTTTTCCATATTTACAGAGCATGTCATTCCCAAAAATTTATAAATAGACCAATCAAGGTAAACTCACACAAGCATGCTTCAAACCCAAAACCTCTTAGTTGATAGCCAAAACCCCCAACTAACAGACTAAAATGAGTTGTGTGAATCCCTTCTTTTCACGAAAGCCGGCTTAGATATTCTACAATGTATTAGATCAGCAAGCTCATCAATTCATATTAGCTGCAAATAATAATAAGAATGATAGATACCACAAAAATCATTAAATTGTTATTATAGAAGCAATAACCAATTATCTTCTTAAAAAGCTTTTATGGCAGTGTTATTACATATCATTCTTATTTTTAGTCATGTTCTTATTCTTAATCATTTTTTTTTTCTAATTATTCTTATTTATTTTCTTATTCTTGATTATGTATGGAAGAAGAATAATTGTCAATACTCAATACTGTTGAACTAACGCCCATTACATACTTATTACTCATTAATCCTGTTCTTGTACTTAATTCTTTTTTTATATAACGATTATTTTAATTGAAATCTTTATTATTTTTATAATAAATAAATGGAGGATTTTTTAGCGTTACCACAAAGCTCTTATGCATTTATATATCTAATACCCAAGCTTTCAAATTGACTTATATACTACTTCAATGTCTAAATTATATTAGAGTAACTTATGAAAACAATATTTTGCTTTAATTAAATTAATGTTAGTGATATTTTTTTATGTTATTTAAATATTTGAGTGCTATATAGCAAATACCTGAAAATTTTTATGATATATATATATGTAGTCCTCTAAATTACCATATAATACATATGTATTTACATATTTTATTTCTAAACTTTATTATTTATTTATATAACAATTTAATATTTTAATCACATCAAACTATGTACATTAATAAAAATATTTCACTTAAGAAAATTAACATTAGTAGTGATTTTTATATAATTTAAATATATGTGTTATATAAGTTAACATCAAAATTTAGATATTATATATGTAAATACATAAAAATTATATGATACAAATGTAAATTCTTCATAAATTCTTTCTCAATCACACTAAGAACATTAAGCTTAAACCAAAGTAAATTAATTAGTCAAATTCAAATTTAATTAAATTATGATATCTTGATGTAAAATGCATGAAAATGTGTTTCAAAGTGTTTATCAACATTTCAAAAAATTTCTAAAAAATATTATCAATATTATTAATTTAAATTTCGTAAACATCTAATTTATAATTTTAATATATTCAAATAAAAATAAAATAAAATAAGTTTGGATCAGAATATCTTAATTTAATTTCTTAATTTTTTTTCACTTATCTTAAAAAAGATAAAAAGAATATTAAAATTTATTCTAATTATTTTTTAATTATAACATTCTAACTTAAATAAAAAAAATTCAGTGCCGTCTTGATCACGTCTTAAAGTCAATGTTCAAAGTAAGAAATTCCGCTCTCGAATTTGGACGGATTCCTTTAATCTTGACCGCATCTTTTAATACGAAGCAATATCCACCACCTTTTTGGCTCATTGCGCCAATTTTATCTATCTATCACATCTGAGTTTGGTAAGCGGCACGTCATCAATATAAATTAAATTTCAGTTTTTTTATTAATATTGCTTAAAGTAATTACTTTGATTATTCAATAATGAAATAAAAAAATTATATGAGATAAGTTTTTTTTTAATATTACCGAATAGTACCGGATCAGTTTCGGATTCGACCCGAACTCGACCCGTGACCAGAAATTGACACCCCTATATATAGGCTCTCATAAGTATATTTACAATTTTCACAAGACCATTTGAGGGACCCAATATAATGTACTTTTAGGCTTCATTTGCGACGGCTTTCTTCCTGCTTCTTAAAACAATTTTTTAGTTCAAAAATTAAAAATTTTAAACTAAAAAGCTACTTTAAGAAATAGTAAGAAAGTCGTCCGAAACGAAGCCTTAATTATGATGAGCAAATCTACGAGATCATTCGAGAAGCCATCGAGAAGCCGAAGATCGCTCAATGCTTGTATCATTAATATTTTATATTGTCTAAGATGTTCAAATAATCAAGGGAGATTAATTCAAATAATTTTATGAAGTGTCTTAATTTCTATTGAAATGACTTGAATTTTTCCTTCATAATTTTATAAGTAGACATTGCCTCTACATATTTAAAGACCTTATAGAGAAATATTACTTTTGAATGCATAATCTTACTTAAAGAGCATAAGTACTTATAACTTTAATAATTTTATATCAAAAATAATCTTTAAAAATATAATTCTATATGTAATTCTATTAATTTTGACAATATTATATTTTACCAAGCTCTAATTCATAACCACATTTATACTACTTCTAGTGCAATCCATTCATGAATATTAAAGTTTAAATCCTAATATATCAATCTTCTCAACGTTTTTTCCAACCCATTTAATGGTTTGAATATATAGATTTATCTTCCTATAAATCATAATATATATTAATTTCATTATTTTGCGTATAAAAGTACCTACATTCCAAAATTTTATCATAATTATAGTTTTATGAACTACCTTCTTTACCCACACCTTTCATGATGCGAGAATCATTCTTTTTTAACAAATCATCTTAATGCCAGTAAAATAGGCCTTGCACATTTTTTACTATATTCAGCTCATACAATGTATCATTTTAAGAAAACGCCCTAACACCAAAAATAATGTATTGAAGTATTTATATCATAATTATTCGATAAATACTGGTTGTCATATTACTTAACACAGCTATCCAATTTTCTCATCTACTAAATTGTTAAAAGTTAAAACCACCAATTAATTTATGAGAAAAAAATGATTATCGAGCAAAATCATATAAATTCTTAAAGTAACTTCTTAATTTTTTTACTTAAAGAGGATCTCTATTTCTTTGTAGATATAGTTTTTCATATAGCCCACATATCCCTATAAATAAAAGATGATGAGTAGCAATTTAAATCTTTTGATCTGTTTGACTCTTGAGATCGTAGCATGTCGTATACTCGTGCTACAAAATTTTGATGGTGGATTGTTCTCTCCATTCTCACACATGTTTTCAAGTCATTTATTCGCCTATCAATATGACCGAGTTTCATCCCTGGACAAATTTGAATTCAACAAATTCATTGATTAAACAAATTAATTGATATTAAATAATTGTTTTATAACTCATTTTCTTTATCAGATAAATTATGTTCTTTATTTATTTGATGCATGCATTAATTTTATAATTTATAATTAAATAACAAAAAATATAATTAACATATTATGATCAATTTATTACTTTTTTTATTTATTTTAAATATACTCATATATGATTAAATTTCTAATGACCTAAAGATTAATTCACGGTAAACATGAGGCACGATCGGCCCTTTTTTAGGGGATTTATATATATCACTTTATTTCATACTTTTATATATTTAGCATCTAAAATTTTAATATAACATGACTACCGCCTATAAAATAAATATGAATCATGAAATGAAATATTAAAATTTATAAAGTGGTATGAGTCGTAATATTAAAATTTTATATGAGTAATATTTGATATTAAAATTTTATATAAGTGATAAGAATATAATATTAAAAGTTTAGACATTCAATATCTAAATAACATTAGAAAAAGTGGTATATAAGTAAATCCTCTTTTTTAATACAATAAATTAATAATAATAATAATAATATTTATTATTTTTATAATAATCTTCTTCCAAAGTAAACAAAATTGTCCCCACCGCCATGGCGCCACGATTGGTAAAGTTTGCGGGCCGACAACGGGGAAGAAAAAATAACTAATACGAAGAGGAAAAATAAACCTAAAAGCATTATTGGATTTGGATGATGGATGGGCAAAATTCTTGGCCTCCCGATCATCCGCGTCACTGTTCTAGAAGAAGGCAGTTACATTTTCTTTGCTGGTCTTCGTGCTCTGCCTTTCGTTTCTCCATGGGGATCACCATCTGGGGCGATTCAGAGGTATTAGGTTACGTGCAACTCTAAACTCAAACTTTCCTTCATTTTTTTTCTCGTGAAATTGGTAAAAGCTGAGTCTTTATCACTTGCTGTGTGTTCTTTGTTCACTTGATAAGTTAGAATTAAGTTGTGGTTCTGTTTAACCTAAATCCTGGCTTGCGAAAGGCCTGATTTTTTAGCCATATTTTCTAGAGCGCTTTCTGATTTGGGTTTTTGAGATGCTGCCAGTATCTATGAGTTTAGATCTATTGTTGTGATTTGGTCGAGGGAAAGGATGTAGTGTTACCAAAGGTTTGGAGTTTGGAAGTTTCTTTTTGATTTATTTATGCTCTTCCTTTTTGGAGAATTTATTTATTTTTCGTTAATGTTTTTGTGCCGATGGATAGTTTTAATTTTTCTTTAGTTTGCCTAGCTGGTGCTTAAAGTCTAAGGAGCTGTTTGGTTGCAGGATTTAAGCTGAGGAATTATCCTAAATCCTGCGAAACAGTTAAAATTTATACTTTGAATCCCACAAAATCTTAAATAACGCTTCTCCTCCGTTTTGTCTTAAATCCAGGATTAGTTGATCCTGTTAGTGAGCGAATTTAACTTAAATCCGCAAGTTTTACGAACTCTTCTTCTTCTTTGCACGCTGCTGATCCCGATGGCTCTAAATCGAGCTCTGTCACGACTCCCTCTCTTCATTGTCATCGAGGGTTTTGGAAATTTGGGGGAGAAAGATGAGGGTTTCTGATTTTGAAATTATTAATATTACTTCATATTAATTAAAATTTTAAATTAGTCTTAATAATTAATATTAATAAACTAAAAACTATTGATTTAAACAAATTATTATTATTTGTGATTTAATAGAATTTATTATGTATTTATGTTGAATTAGTTTTATAAATTATTAAATAATGTTTAATTCGGATATTAACTTTTACTAATTATAATTTAGTTAACATAATTATAACCTATAGAAATATTATTAATATTCAATCAAATAAATTAGATAATCTAAATGATTAATAAGAGTGAATTAAAATGTTATCTCAAGTTAGATGCTATTCCTTTTTTAATTTTGATTTCATTTATCTAAATAGAATTTATTAATAATTAGCTTGGCAAAACACTACTTAATTATTAATTAAGATATTTGATCAGATTAATTATGATTTAATTATTCTAGTTAAAATTGATATAAGAAATAAATATGATAAGATATTCTAATAGCGTAAATTTTTAAATTTTGAAATAAGTAGCAATACAGTTTAATCTGAATTTAACTAGATTTAACATTTATCATATCAAATAATTTTCAAGATTTAACTCATGGAGGATTTTTTAAATTTCGATTTATAGGATATACTAAATCCTACTTGCAGCCAACAGCCTCTAAGAGATACTGTGGAGAATTTTTTTTTTTTTTTAAAGTTTGTTTAGCTTAGTTTCTTGCCTTTGATTGTAATTGTAGCAATTTTTTTGCAGATATCTTCAGAAACTGCAAGTATGCTGCAAATCCAAGTAATGCAATTATGAAGGAATTTGTTATTTTTTGTAGGGACAAGTTGGTCCCCTTAGCCCTTAGGGCTAGTTGTTGTTAACCTTCTGTTTACATATTTATTTATACTGAGAAAAGGACCCATTCTTCAGTTTTAGTTTAGATCTTTGGAGATTCCATCAAAATGGCTTGTGCATTATGCATTCAGACTCTCGCCCTTGCGCTAATATCATTGAGCTTCTTAAATATCACAATTGGGGATCCAAGAACTAGTCTTGTAGCACAGTGGTGCAATCATACTTTAGCTGCCAATGGTGCTATTCTTGCAGACAATTTTGTTCCTGCAATGGATAATCTAAGTAGTCACGTTAATGCAAATGGGTATGGAACAAGCATCACGGGGGTAAATCCGAATGCGGTTTGCGCTCTTGCTCAGTGTTATGGAGACCTTAGTTCAATTGATTGTAAGTTGTGCTTCTCTGAGATCAGATCTCAGCTACCTAAATGTTATCCAGATACAGGTGGCACACTTTTCCTTGATGGGTGTTTTGGGAGATATGAAAATTACACATTTTTTGATGAGATATTTTCTCGAAATGATACAACTATTTGTTCTTTTAGTAACAATAATTCAAATCCAAACATCTTTGGTCAAACTGTGAAGGAGGCTGTTGGCAATGTGTCTTTGCAAGCACAAAACAAACATGGATTTGCTGTAGGTTCAGCATCAAATTTCAACTCAACTGTATATGTTCTTGCTCAATGTTGGGAGAATTTGAATAGTTCTCTTTGTAGTTCGTGTCTTCATACCGCTGCTTCGGCAATTTTATCATGTTCTCCAGCTACGGAAGGGCGAGCACTCTATGCTGGGTGTTTTCTGAGATACTCGACAAAACTTTTCTGGAACGTGAATCAGGCATCTTCAAGTTCTAGCGGTATGTCGTAACCACGTTCTTTGTAGTCATATAAGATGAATCGATGTTTTATAATATAGTATATATATGGTTTTCTTTTTGAAGCACAAATTTGATCATTGCTGAAATTTAATTTTCATTGCTTTTCTTGTGAAATTTTAAATTTATTTAACAATTATTAAATTATCTTTTGGGATGAACAAAGAATGTTTATTGTCCTTACAAAAATTGCTATATTTAAGAATTGGTAACCTGTGGATTATTAATTTATTTGTCTTATTGTAGATCTCATCCTATGTTATATTAGAAATCCTAGACTTATAATCATCCTAATGTGATAATATCAATAAGGAATATAATATTCCTTATTGATATTGGATGATTAAGGATCTAGGATTTCAAATGTAACATTAAAAATCCAACCTTTTGCCTATTAAACAAAAGCACAAGAAAATGTGATGTGGGTGATAAACTCCAACCTTTTGCCTATTTCACCCGAAAAGTCTGTTTTTAGAACTATATTTCCAATCATTACCAAAAAGAAAAAAACAATGGGGAAGAGATTTGTGGCAGCTGTGGGTATCCAACCTTGCTTCTTGATGGGGACATCAGTTGGAAAGTCTACCGTCGACGTAGCCGTAGATCTACGGCCACGATTTACCCGATGTATTTCTGATTTTAGTATGATCATTTTATTTTGATGTATTTTTATTTCTGCACTTTTTCCTTTTTACCCTTGCTTGAGGGATTGAGTCTTGTAGCCCCTCGAGGGTATTTTAGTATTTTATGTTATGTCTTTGTAGTAGGCTATTTATAGCCTTCTTCTTGTACTTGTGAGGATTGATGAATGATATTACAAATTTTCTTGCATTGGTCTTCTTGGAGCTTTCTTTTGTAAGAGCTTGAGAGAGAGGTTGAGAGCTAGGTGGAGCTTAGGAGAGGCCACCCGTTGTACCCAACAGTCACCACCGGTGGCTCTTGGTTTTCCCGTCTTCATTCTTCGCTTATTCTCCGTTTCCGCCTCCGGCCATTCATCCACCACCACAAATCATCCCCTCTTAACCTCACCTCCCAAAATCCCCCTTCTCAAAGAAAACCCGCCTCCTCCCATTCATCCCGCCGGCCACCATCTTGGCCGCCGGCCTCCCCGCTGCCCACCGCCCCTCCCTTCTACCCATCATCGGCCTCTCCCCATACCACCTCCATGAATTTCAGATTTTGAAATTCAAAGTGAAAGTTTCCATTTTTGTCCGACGCCAAATTTGGAAAGTTTTCATGCGATTTCAAATTTCAAATTCGAATTGAGTGGATTTGAAATATTCTCCATTTATTGCACGGAGCGAATTTGGAAACCCATAACTCCTCCCAAAACCCCCAATCCCCTCTCTCCTTGCCGCCGGCCTCATCAATGGGCTCCTCTCTCCTTTAATGCTTCATGAAGGGGATTAATTGCAAGGTGTTCAAATTTCAAACCCATTTATTTTCCCTCCAAACTCACTCAATTCTGAAAATAATTTCAGATTTATGATTTAAAATAAGTTCTATTCCACCTCACCTAGCCGCCCCTAACCCTAGCCGCCTCCCTCTCCCTCACAACCCGCCGCCCACTCTCTTCCCACCGCCTCTCTCTCTTTCTCTCTTCACCCTCCTCTCAAGGTGTAGCTCCTACTTTGATTGGAGATGGAAGATCAATCCGGAACTTGCGTTTAACCTTGCATATCACGACGCTTCTGCGAGAAGAATTCACCTAGCCTTGGACGGAACAATTATTGGAAGGTACGTGGGATTCCTACGACGTCTCTCCGTGAAGGTGATTCTTTTCTTCCTTGATTCTTTTACTTTCGAATTCCAAATTCTTCGTGAGAATTTGTTCAAAGCAAGAGATTGTGTCTACTTATTGCCATCCACTAGTATTCGTAGGATTTGTTACTTCTTTGCTTTTAGATCTCGTTGTTAAACAAGGATTATGTTGGAAACTACCCCGCATGCATTACTTTGATTTTCCTACGTGTTTTGATTCCGCTTAGCATTTTGTGTAGTTTGGCCTAAACGAAAGTGACCGTTCATTAGTTTACTTTGTTGTTTTAATCACTAATAACGGAATCTGAAATTGATCTCAAAATATATTGTACAAGTTTCCGACTTATGCATGTAGTCCTGCATCACTTCTTATACCGTGATATCCACCTCCCTATCAAGATTTCTCTCTTTACCTTCACAATTAAAGAATTTCTCTCTTTACCTTTCAGTTCAGTTAGAGTTTCTGAGCATCAATCCAAAGCATGAATTTTTATTCTTGAGGGTGAAAATGAAAGACACAAGCCTTTCTCTTCCACTAATGTGTTCCATATCTAATCTGAGACTTGGATGCTCTTTGCATTGAAGTCTTTGGCAGTATCACCATCTACATACCAGCACCACCACAAGAATAAATATACTGAAGTCCTTGACTTTACTATTAGAGACGGGATATGAAATGAGCATATACGTTAAAAGCTTAGAGTAGCTCTAGCGGAAGATAAGATTAGAGAGAATCACCTTAGATGGTTTGGTCACATAAAACGGCAGCCTTCCGATGACCCAATTCAGAAAGTAGATGTATTAGATTTGACTTATGTTAAGAAGGGTAGAGGTAGACCTAAAAAGACTTGGTTAGAAAATATTAGAAATGACATTTCTTTATTAGATTTAAATGAGAATTTGACTATTAACATGACACAATGGAGAAAAAAGATTCATGTAGCCAACCCCACGTAGTGGGATAAAGGCTTGATGTTGTTGTTGTATTCTTTTATGATGATAGATTAAAGATTAATTTGATTTGATTACTTTACTATTGGATACGTTGCAGTTACAAAAACTGTAAAATGGTGTGTGTGTATGTATATATATATTATTGTTCACTTGTTCAGATGTTTCATCCTTGTTCTAAATTTTACGCTTAACTAATTAGAATCTTCTAACATTCAGGGACAAGTAAAACAATATGGATAATAGTCGGTTTATTAGTTGGGGCCATCGTTTTAATACTACTGGGACTCTTGATTGCAAAAAGAAGAGGTTTATGGGGCAGAAAAAAGCAGGCTTCTTTAAAAGGTAGGCAATATAAGCTTCATAAATATCAAAATTAAAATTATATTTCGCTTTTAGGTGGTCTTAAAACTTATTTTTCCTATTGCAGATTTATACGGGCTAGAAATGGCAGCAGCTATTTCACAATCAAATCTAAATTTCAAATATGAAGACTTGAGAAAAGCTACAAATAACTTTAAGCTGTCCAACAAACTTGGTCAAGGTAGTTATGGGACTGTATACAAGGTAAATGCGGCATTCTAGTAAATTTAACTGGTAAATTGCTTACACTTCTGAAAGCTTATTACGTTTTCAGGGTGTTCTTTCTGATGGAAAAGAAGTTGCTGTGAAACAGCTTTTTCTTAACACAAGACAGTGGATTGAACAATTTTTCAATGAAGTTGATCTGGTAAACAAAGTTCGCCACAAGAATTTGGTGAAGCTACTTGGCTGCAGTCTAGATGGCTCTGAGAGCTTGCTTGTTTACGAGTACTACAAGAACAGGAGCCTGGATCAGTTTATATTTGGTAATTTGTTGCCCTTCCTTTTCAGACTTTTGTATAAAAAGGCATCTCTCTATTAGCATTTGATGTTTAGCTCTATATTATATCAATCTGATTTTAGGTAGTACTTTTAAAAGCAGAAGAACCTTATTAATGATGCAAGTCTACGGTTATGTTTTGAAAGAAGATATCCTATGACATTCTGTCCATTGATTATATCATTTCTATAGGAAGGCAAATTAAGTATCTCTACTGAATAGACTCCAAAGGATAGCTCCCTGAAGTAAATTTTGGCATTGAAAAAATGAAATAGATACATTTAGTCAGCTTTAATTGCATCTTTGGTTAGCTTAATCCCTAGTTTTTACTCGTATTCTCACTGTCTATTTCCAGTCTCTAGAATTTTCTGGTTAAGATATATGAACTCAAATTAGCTTTTGTCTTCTAATTGTCCCAAAGTGGAATTGTTTTACTTGTTTTAATAAGTTACATCACTTCTTTTACACACTTGTTGCATATCTTTGGGAAAACTCCTGGTATTAGTCATACATGTTGACTCATTGGCAATTTTGATTCATTCTCTATTCAGGATGTCTATAAGACTAGAGAGGGAGTTGAAGGTAAACTTGAATTATGGAGGTCAACCTTAGAGTCTAAAGACTTTTGTTTGAGTAGATCTAAAACTGAATATATGGAGTATAATTTTAGTAATAATAGATCTAGTGGGGGATTGTGACTTTGAGTGATCAATTCATTAATAAGAGCACACATTTTAGATATCTTGGGTCTATTATTCAGAGCGATGGTGAAATAGATGGGGATATTATTAGTAGAATTCAAATTGGATGGTTGAATTGGAGGAATGCATCGGGCTTGTTATGTGATGGAAAAGTCCCTTTCAAACTTAAGGGAAAATTCTATAAGATGGTAGTGAGACCTGCAATGCTTTATGGTGCAGAAATTTGGCCATTGAAAGAGAATCATAATATTAAGTTAAGTGTTGCAGAAATGAGGATGCTCAGGTGTATGTGTGACTTTACTCTTAAAGAAAGGATACAAAATGAGCATATGTGAAAATGTTGGAGTAGCTCCAATGGAAGATAAGATTAGAGAGAGTCGCCTTAGATGGTTTGGTCACATAAAATGGCGGCCTTCCGATGACTCGGTTAGGAAAGTAGATGTATTAGATTTGACTTATGTTAAGAAAAGGTAGAGGTAGACGTAAAAAGATTTAGTTAGAAAATATTAGAAATGAGATTTCTTTGTTAGATTTAGATGAGAATTTGACCCTTAACAGGATACAATGGAGAAAAAAAGATTCATGTAGCTGACCACATATAGTGGGATAAAGGCTTGTTGTTGTTGTTGTTCTCTATTCAGGATGTTACAATTAAAAGTTTCTGAAGTTGTTAGTTATTATGAAATTTCGGTTAATGTCTGGCTATTTGTTTTCTGTCCATAGTAATTCATTATGTGCTGATAAGAGTGATCATGTTATTCCGTTTTCTAACTAAGCATCTTTTCCTACCTTATTTTAATTCAGAAAACAATAAATGTTTATGTTCACAGCATCCTCCTTTGGTTTCTCATTCACATATTTTAGCAGATGAAAGTCATGATAAACTGCTAGACTGGCAACAGAGGTTTGATATCATCCAAGGAGTTGCAGAAGGTCTATCTTACCTCCATGACGAGTCTGACACTCGGATTATTCATCGAGATATAAAGGCTAGTAATATTCTGCTGGATGACAAGCTTAAACCCAAAATAACTGATTTTGGCCTTGCAAGATCTTTTGCTCAGGATCAAACTCACCTTACCACTGGAATCGCTGGAACATTGTAAGAACATTACAATACTTCTAAGAATGGAGCAAATAGTGCTGGATCTTAAAAGGAAAATATTTTTACTTCTCTTTTCCCCCAAAATGTGCCTTGACGTAAAAAGGGTCCACCCTATAGTTTCCATACCAACTCCCTATGCTAGTTCTCCATTATCTTATACTACTAATAAAAATTGGCTTGTTATTTCACCTAAGAGAGAATCCAAATAATTCATTTATTGCTTCAACCATGAATATTTGCAATCTATCCTATCCACTATTTAAAAACTTGGATATTTAAAAAATTTCTGATGGATTGATCATTTGGTTGGGTCCTTGGTTTTAGCCGTTAAATATTTTTCTTTTAAAAGTAATATGGCCCTTCGTTGCTTCTATTTTAAAAAGCAGCATTATGCAATTTGAAGTCTCCTTTCTTCTCACTTCGTCAAATAATTGCAAGAGTTGGATTTTCTGAGATTAGATCCTCTTCTTCTACACTTGTCTATTTATTTACTTATCAAATCTCTTCATTATTACTTCTCAACTTTTCATTTTGTATTTATCTACTTCCCTGCAATTCCTACTAAAAATAGTTAGTTTTGCTCTTATAATTACTAAAGAATAGATAAAAGGTGGTCTCCTGTTTCATTTTTTGCTCAAGCTGTAGCCTAGCATAAGAAAATAGGTCGCACTTTATAAGAGAATATTTTTATTCTTTTTTTTTTCCTGCCATTAGTTTTGACCATCATTATGTTAAGAGCATTTTGACCCCTTTTTTGGCCTATTAATATTTTATTTTCCTTTAAAAATTGTTTCTTCATTATTGAAATTATGGCATATTATTATGATTAAGGAAATATTTCATTTCTTAAATAATTTAAATTATGTTTTACTCATTTATCGTAATTTTTTTTACTTTCCAAAAAAATTTATGAAGAGAAAAAGATAAAAATGGTCCCTTGACTATTTATGAAAGATCAAAATAGCCCCCAACTATATGAAATTCTCATTTTAGTCTTTCAACTCAAAGAGGAATCAAAATAGTCATACCATGAGATTATTTTGATTCCTTGTTAAAGACTTGAGTGATCAAAATGATCTTTTTTTATAGGTAAGGACTATTTTGTTCCTTCATAAAGAGTCGAGGGACTATATTGATCATTTTCTCATTTTATAGAAGGATGAGTTGAGCTTATTTTCTATAAGTGTTTAGCAATTAGCTTTTATTAAAATTTTGGGTTTCCTAAATTTCTAATATACTTAAGTATGACCTATGATGTAGATATTGTTATTCAATAATAATTTGATTATTTTTCATGACTTTCAAAGTTTCATATTAGAATAAAAAATATGAACTAAAATTCATCAAAATTTTAGATTTCCTTCTTTTAGTGCAATATTTTTAAAATTTTAAATACTTCAATTCAATTCAAGAAAGTAAATTTATCTTATTTTTGTATGAATCCATGTCTTCTTTCTAAATTTCCTATTCTTCATATGGTTTACAAAACACATTAATTTTTTTTCTCTCTTTCTTATTGTCTATTTATTCTTTTATTTTTTAAATTAGTATGAATAAATAAGTGATGTTTCAACACTCTATTCAGGGGTTATCTTGCTCCAGAATATATTGTCCATGGGCATCTCACTGAGAAGGCGGATGTTTACAGCTTTGGTGTTTTAGTTCTTGAAATCGTGACTGGAAAACGGTGCAGTAGTCCTGTAGGTTCTCATGCAGAGCATTCACTTTTAGCAAAGGTACTTAAGTTTTTTCTTTTTTTCTCCCATTGTCAAGCTACAGAAGCTGTTAAAATGAAGGTTTCTTTAAGTAGAACTGCAAATGGTAGAACTAGCTAGCCATGATTGTATGTTACAGGATAATTCTGTCTGGTTATGAACACCAAATGTTATTTCAAATGACCGTCTCTTGGATCCAACTAGCTTACATTTGTGAACCGATATACATTGGAATGAGAACATAAAAGAGACTGCATTTCATTACTCATGTCCCTGTTGATAAAGACACTGATAACAAGTTGATAATATGTGCTTGTGTTTTTATATATACTGTGTATCAGATTAAAACATATTCCAAAGACCCACCGTTGCTTAGCATGGTTGGTGGGCGAGTACGGTTGGGAACCCTCAAACCGATGCTCGATTCTCCTCGAGCGGCAGCGCCTCTTAAGTGGGGCCCAATCAAATGCGGACTAGGAGGTTTCTGTGGTGGGTGCCTCTTCTAGGTCATCCGAGGATTAGTCACACGCCTGCCAAGCGCCCTTTAAAGGGTGGCAGCGGGTGGATATCCCGTTCCCAAAAAAGAAAAAAAAAAGTTCTCGTTGCTTTTGTAAAATTTACTGCTTTGCTTCATCTTATATTGCCATTAACAGGTATGGAACCAGTACAAGGCGAATACATTGGACAATGTCATCGACAATAGAATCTACAACAAGAATGTGAGGGATGAGATAATACAAGTGATTTTGATAGGTCTTCAATGCACCCAAGCTGACTCACATAGCCGGCCGACAATGTCGAGAGTTGTGGAGTTGTTGAGGAGTAACCGTAGTGGTGATGATGAAGAACTTGTACTGTTGGATCCTCCCTTCTTAGATGTCTCCCCCATGGAAGCTCTTGAGGGAGAGAGCTCCAGGCTGATATCTGCTGATATGTCTGTATCTCGGCTTAGTGCAAGATGAGCTCGCTACCTGCTATTGCAATTAAGCTGAGTAATGGTGTGTGCTTATATATAATAATAATATGGTTTAACAGGCATGAGGCGTATAGTTTTGAAGGTCTATACTTCAATGGCATTTATGGTATTATTTGTAGTAGTGGTAGTATTTTGTAGCTTCAATTAGTACTTTTTATGTAGGAAATAAGTTTTAATTTTCTGTCAGCTGAATCTCTTATAATTTCTATTGAATATGGTGGTCGCATTCTTATGAATTTGTTGTTCGTTATGGAGTTCAAAATTTAGCTGTCATTGTTATTGTTTCAGAAGTGAAAGTGCAGAACATGAACGAGAGCTCCATTAGCTGCATTTGATAACAATTCAGCAAATTAATTATTGAGCTGGAAAAAATTATTTTTACTCGTTTATGAACAGATGAACATGAATTTGCATGGAGCAAAAGTTCTAAGTTTTCTGCCAAGTCAATTAATAATATATATATATATCAGTTTAAATTTTATTAGGGACAGTATTTTTGCTTTTTTAAAAATAATTTTATGCTTAGAAATCAGCAAAACATTAATCTCTTAGATATACAAATTTGATCTTAAATATTCCTATGAATAAAAATTGATAGAATTTGTGCGTTTGAATAAAAAGAATATATATATATATAACAATTAAGATTCAGAAAATTTATTTCTATAAACATCACGTCATAACAATTTTTTTACTTGCATGTCAAATTGATATGATATGGATATTTGATCTCAATTCTAAGGTATGAAGTAAGTATTTCTCCAAGCCCAAACTAATTGAATACTTGTGTGAAAAATTTCTCAAATTGACTTGCCATTTTGATGAAGTAAATAATTTACAATTCAAAGTTTACATTATCCTTTTCCTTGCAAGAGATCTTGAGAAAAAATTGTTACTAAATTTATTCCATCAGCTATTTCATATATAACTACGGGCCAAACCAAAACAAAAGACTTTTTTTTTCTCTCTCCGCTTGGACTAATCCACTTAATCGACTTCTTGTATTCATATTTCAAGCAAGTTGTGTATCTACTCCTATGATACTATTATTCCGGACCATTATGGGCAAAAATCCGGATAAGATATGCACTTCCTCGGGAATGAAAAAAAAAATCTACTTTCATTTGATATTTCGGACTAAATTCTTTTGCTCCTCAATAATCTATGAAATCCACTTTTTTATTTGAATCTACTTCTACAATCCCATAATTTTTGTCTATCTTTACACATGGTCTTCATACGCTACCTACATAGATGATCATCATACTCGAAGAACAAGAAAATTATTTGAATTAAATTTATAGATTTACTTATCCATTAAAAAAACAATCTCATAAGGAATGCCATAGTTCAATGACAACAACATACATCCTTCAACTGAACATCCAAGAACAAAAACAGAAACTGCAAAATTTTAACTTAATTGATTTAACTGTCAACTTCCAAGTAGGAGAAATTTACCCCAAATTACAACAGATTTACATCTCATTCTATCGACATTACAAGATCCGTGAAATTCCCTGATTCTATAATGAAAAGATTTTCCCTAACCTACTTAGGCAAAAGAATGAAACCTTTTATCGTTAAATTGCAACAAATATACAAACGCCCAGGACAACAAAACGATCCCAGCCTCCTAAAATTCAGATTTTTCAGCATTGGTAGAAGTAGAGTGGTAGTTAGCTGGCTATGAAATGGTGAAAGGTCTAGACGCTGATGTACTGTACAAATTCAATTACTAATCAAAATTTTTCTCTCTTAAGATCATTTATTATGCTGGCATCAGCCAAAAGCTTCGCATACAATTCTTCAGCCTCTCTCAGCTCACTCCTAAGCTTTTGTTCCTGATAAATAAATGAAATTCAGTCAAAATATTACAAGAAAGGCTTTGAAGCATGAGAAAACTTCTGAGTCATGATCATAGAGCTGTTAAGATAATTTATTGTTCATGCTCAATCATACTCATGCTCAATCAGCTCATTTACTTGATGAGTCAAGACGAGCCGTCGTCTCATTTACACCCCTAATCATAGTTTAGGGAGTTATTGAAACTAAGATAATGATTTGGATATAGTAGTAAGATGTAAATAGTCATAGGGGATTTACATATAGACCATAATATATATATATATATATATATAACACTTAAGTTTTTTTATTTATTTATATGCACTTTAGTGTCTTAATCACATCAAAGCATATACATAAAAAATATGTTTTATTTTAAATAAGTTCATATTAATGATATTTTTTATATGATTTTGATATGTGAGTTTTATATAAGTAAATAGTAAAATTTAAGTGACATATATAAGTAGATAAGAATTTTGTGGTATGAATGTAAATCCCCCAAAGAGTTAAATCGCAATCTACATTATGAAAGAATATAGCATAAGGTTGAGGAAAAGGAATACCTTAAGCAAAAGTTGTTTCTCTGTCTCTTCATACTCCAAGCACCTAAACAAAATAAACAGAAAAAACAAATTATCATCCTAAAATTGTAATATATGTTTATGCAAGAAAAAATTTCGGACAAGTTATCTGGAATAAAATGTGGTCATGATGGTTCTCAAAGCAATTGGATCAACTTTAAGATGAGCATAATAAAAAATTAATCAATCAAAATTTTTATTGTCCTAATCTCAAAATAAATCTAATAATTTAGAAATTCTATTTGAGCAAATTTCAGGATATTCAGACACAATTTTTTACCTTTACATCCAAATGATACATTAGGGCTCACTAATTCCTATGCCAACCATTCCAGGTCAGTTTTTTTAGAGGAGCTTTAAACCATGCCATCTCTTTGGAAGGCTAAAGCTGTATAAACTGTGTTTGAAAAAAGTACATACACTAAAAGAATGTGTCATTTTACTCACTGTTCATGCAACCTCTTATTTTCTAGCTTCAATGCATCCGATGTCTTCCTTTGCTTGTCAGTAACAACGTTTTCCACCTACACAAGCAACTGATATCAGTAAAAAGCCGCACTTATATTCTATAAGTTATAAAAGCCAAATTCCAGGATCCCAATTACAAAATTCAATTCGAAAATGACTTTTCATCATCTCAAAATGATTTATATTTCCAAAGTCTAATCTTCTGTAGCTAAAAAAAAAAAGATTTCTAAGCTAATGCAACCTGGTAATCGTAAAGCTATGCATTTTTAATTCTAATTGTTATAAATGGATTTTTCTGATAAATTCGATCCAGTAAATGCAACCTGGACACCAACCGTTTTGAGGCTTAAACCTAACAATCCAAAAATTGCATAAAGTATTCCTAGAGAAGAACCATTGTTAGAGAATGGAGATTCCTTGTGGAAGAGGGAAATTTAGACAGGAGGAAGAGGAGGGTAAGAGAGCAATGGCATCAACGACGTTAGAGATTGTTGGCAGTGGAAAGGAGGCCGGAAAAGTCATCATTTACTTCATAGGACAAACTAGATGAAACTCTATTTTGCTAGGTCATGATCTAACATTCATGTGTGCGCATCTTGTGTCATATGATATAACAAAATAAAATTACTCGAGGCATATGCCTCAAGCTTTTGAGGCGAGACGTGCCTCACAATTTGCAAGATGTGCGCCTCATATAAACAGTCTGAGGCATGCACCTCAAAGCAATTTTTAGTTTTTTTTTTTGCTAAGGTGCACCTTTAGGAGTGCCTCAAATTACGTAATTTTAAACAATAGATAGGGTTAGAAAGCTCAAATGCATGAAGGACACAGAAAACTTAATTGTACGTAATCATTTTTATATAGTGTAGAAAAAAGTAAAAATACACCAAGTTTAAACATCGTGAAACGAATGTCTTTCTTACCATCACCATCACTTTGTGATTACCACAAAAACCATCTTTAGTTGCATGAGGTGCAGGTCCACATTTAAATGATTCAGTTTGAGAGCCATGGATCTCACGTTTTCTTTTTTGAGGCAACAGCGCTGGTAAGAATGTAGGTGCACTCAAAGCAACCACACTCGGAGCAGCAGATGCCACACCAACCGAAGCTGTGCCTGAAGCATCAAAAGAAGAGGACAAGTCAACATTGATCTTTCAACCAATCAAGCTTTAGAGTAAGGGGAAACAAAAGGGTAGCTAGCTCACGATTCATCTTAGACTGTTGCAGGGCTACCGATGAATTTGTGGAAGGCGACTGAGGAACAATTTTATGAGGCATTTTCCTATTCTGGTAACCAACTAAATGACAATATAGGTCCCTATCCAAATTCAAAAGGTGGAAAAAAATCAAAGTTAAAAGCCAGATAGAGTCCCATCCTCAACTAATGAAATGACAGCCAAGCCACAAGAACAACACATTAGTGAAAGAAAGATAAAATTTTATCATACAGTAAAACAAAGTGAAGCCCAAGGTATTCCCATTCTCACCATTCATGGATTAAGCCAATCAGCAGAGCTGTTTGAAGTTGTTATTTTGCAATCACATCACTTGCCGTAATACCCAAATTAACATTAAAAACAAATATTTAAATTTTTTATTAACATTTATATCAAATTTTCACACATCTCAAACATGATCAAAAGTATTTTTATAGCATTCTATATTTCATTTTGATTATTTTAATATATAGAAGTATAAATATAAATATATAAGTATGATAGAATTTATAAAATTAGTTTATTAATTCAATTATTAAAGCCATAATCCTATAAATTTTGCTGTTTATATATTACAATCACTGCAGCAGGAATTAATATACTGTAACAATCCCTTTACTTTTCTACAAATCCGTGACATGCATGATTAAATGGGTGGGATGTTTTCAGATTTAAAAGGGTATTAGATTATGTTATATAACTATTACTTAAATAAATATTTACTTAAACACTAATTTAGCATTTCCATCCCATTTGCCGTAATCTTCACAGAGCCAAAACAGAGAGCTGAGAGCGGGCCTGAGAGTTCAACTGTGAATGGAAATAAGAAGAGAAGGATATAAGAAGAGAAGAAGTAGAAAAGGTGAAGAAGAGAGAACTAGGGTTCGAGGGTAAGAATCCTGTTTTTTTCGTGTTTTCACTCGAGTTTTGATTTAGTAAAGCTTTAAAGCTTGAATGAGAAATCCTTTTAAGGTAAAATGTTATTTTAAAGTTATTTCATATAGATTCATGTCATTTGGTAGAACTTGATTTGAATTGAGGAATTTGTTATTGTTAGGTTGTTTACAAAAGAACAAATTATGCGGAGATAGAAAACAGGAAACCTCTCCAAATGATAAACCAATAATTATGGTGAGATACTCAATATCTAAATTTGGAGAAAATTATTCATAAGCCTAATATTTGTAAACTCCTTCAAATGTATTGAATTATTATGTCAATGTTTATAGACTTTCTTCATATTAAACATGTTAATGACACCTGATTTTACCAATAAATCTATTGCATTTTTTATGATTACCTATTTAAACATTTTCAAGATATTTCGAACTCATTCATAAGATAATTTAATAAAATACAATGCATATTTTAGTACCTAGATGTTGACTTGCTCATGTCATGCTTTACATTTGGTACATGTTAATGCAGGTTAATTGATAACAATGCTAAATACTTTATAGCTGATAATAATGCTAAAAATAAAGAAAATGAAAGGTCATGTCATGTAAGATATGTTAACAAATTATGATGGCAGGCACAATGAGAGGCAAAGTTATGAAGAGACAAGCTTCGGCAGGGAATAAAAGAGATTCTCAACTCCTCTCGATGCTAGAAAGTTTAGAGATAGTATGATACTATGATCCAACCTTGATCGAAAGATAACTGATAACTATCACATTCGGTTAATTCCAAAGCTCATCAATGATTATTATAGCTGACAAGTAGATGATGACCAAATGATATAGATGTGTTGAAGCCTATACAGAAATTATAAGACATTTATAAAATAATGATTAATAATAATGAGGAAAAAAAAAAAAGCAAAGCAACCAATTTGATACCAGCAGTTAACTAGCCCAATACATTTAAATGATTTAACACTTAACACCTTTAGTTCAATTTCTTGCAAATCTTCATACCTATTGCTTATGATTGAGGTTTTTTACTTATATAACCAATGAAGCTTGTCTTAATTTAAAGTCTATTATATTGATATGGGTATATCTACGACTAGTAATGCTCATATTAGTTCAAATGATTAGTATGGCATACTAATTTTTTATTGTATTTTTCAATTTTATATTAAAATTATTTATCCTATTAGACTAGTAGTTCATCAAATATTCTAAATACTATTTCAGGCTATAAAAAGGAACATGTTAGATGACCTAATTTTGCCCAGTACCTTAGAGTTTAAGGTGCAAAGTTTTGCATGTATCATAGAAGAAAGATGCAGTTGATGTACAATTAAAGATTTCTCATTCGTGTTACTTTTTAATAACGTTTACTAGAAACCCTATAGCTCATTTTGATAATTTAAATTATATACTCTTTCGTATTAATCATTATAATGAATTTATTAGATGATCATAAAATATAGTGTGCATTTTGTGACGATTTGGGCATACCAATTTTCTACTTAATCGATCATAAGTAACAAAACTCAAGTTAAATGCGGCTAAAAAAAATGTGACTAACTGGATTGATCTGGCTATATCTATGAATAATAATGTTCATATTAGATCAAATAATTAGCAGGTCATATCAAATTTTTAATGCATTTTAATTTTATATTAAATTAATTATCCCACTGGACTAGTAGTTTATCAAATATTATAAATACTATTTCAGGTAAAAAAACGGGAACAGGCTAGGTGACCTAATTTTGCCCAGTACCTTAGTTTTAGGCATACAATTTTGAATGTATCATAGAAGAAAGATGTATTTTATGTAAAATTAAAGATTTCTCATATGTATTACTTTTTAAAATTCATGCTTAGTAATGGATACCGACAAAGTCTAGGGGACCATACACTATTCTTTAAACACTCATACTCGGGGGAAGTCACAATATTATCAATTTATGTGGATGATTTTATCTTGACTAGGAATGATGAAAAGGAAAACATTATTCTAAGGAAAAGTCTTACCAAGGAATTTGATATCAAATAACTCTGTTGATCATGTATCATCAAAAGATCAATTTGCAGATATCCTTACCAAAGGATTGAATAACTCTATCTTTCTCAGAATGATTGCCAAGCTGGGAATAACATGTCTATATTCCATAGCTTGAAGGGGAGTGTTAAATCCCAGCCTCTAATCTCCATATTGATCCCACGGCCACGGATAGGGATCTGTGGGAAGGCCGCCAGAATCATGCTGATTCCCTTCCATAGTTAGGTAGCTGATTTAGGAATGAATATATGAGGGCAATAATGCCTAATTCTGTAATGTAGTTATTTCTTTATTTAACATTTTGTATGGATCTATAAATAGGGATAGAATTGTGTCATAAAGTAGAAATTTTTTCCCTCTCAAATTCCTGAATTCAACACAATAAATAATATTATCCCCATATATCAACTTCCTTCTTATTAGGAAAAAAAAAGAATTAATTTGTTGAGAGAGCAAAAAAGAAGGTAGGATCCCTTAGTTTTATTGATGCAAGTGGAAAAAATTTGAATGCGCCTCAACGGTTGAATGAACAAAATAGAGAACTTTGATAAGCTTTTTAGATTATTATCACGAGGGTTTATCATTTTGAAAATTTGTTGATGCTTCCAATATCAATAAAGATGCAACTACTTTGTGATTTATTTACTAAACAATTAAATTGATTGGTTAAAAAATGTGGCTCAGTTGGCAATAGCTATTGCATGAAAAACACGGTAATATTTATTAGTCATCGTGTGTTGCATATTTAGATTTGATTTCAAAAGAATTTGATAGCATAAATCAGTTGGTGAATATTACCACACAAGTACTTGGAAGGTGACTTATTCTTTACAATCATATCTTTATATTATCTTAGTTAAAGAAACAATCATTAGAGAGATCTTGCACGTCCATTAGTATGATTTGCAAGCATTTAAAGAAAAAGGATGGGTCCCAGATCAACTCATTTTGTATTAGCTTTCAATAAAATGAAAAGTTTATATGACCATAATGATGATTTACAAGCATTTAAAACAAGCAAGAATTTTCTTGACTCAAAGTTGGAAAAACCATTAAAAGGAATGCTATAATTTCAATCGTTTCAGAAAAAATATTTGATTAAGTCAAAATTATCAGGCGCACACAGCAAATTATTATGGTTGGTTGATTCTAATGAAAAGCCATCACTTTTTTATGTGTATGATGGAAAATATAAGGTAAAAAAGGCAATCAAAAGCATGATAAAAAATACTAAGAGATTGTCCAAGTCAATAACAAGCATTATTAAAAAGAGACGTAACAATCAGCTACATCCTGCCGTTCACTCAACTATATATGCTTCAGCTACATCCTTTCTAATTTGATCAAGTTAATTATTATCATAAACCTTAAGTGATGAAAGACTTGACTGAACATACTAGAAACCTAAATTTGTAATGAATAAGGTTATAATTTATTGGGATAATTTAACAAGCTTTGAGAAATCGATTGTTCCTATCATGTCCAAAGAAATGAATATTGGTAAGTTCTTTGTAATACTATCCATTACATTTATGATATTTATATATCTTTCTAAAATTTATCAATATTTCACAATGTTTAAATTTGCGTATTCGGGTATTGAGGCGTTTTTCATTCGTGAGGCGAGGCGTAAGCCTCAAGGCGTTTTGAGGCGTAAGCCTCAAAATCAAAATATTGCGTAAACATAAAATGATAATTTTTTTATATACTAATAAGCGAATAATATAAAACATAAAAAAACATAAGATATGAAGTGAAATCAAAGTATCTCAATAATAAGACAACATGAAATATAGTTCAACTCAAAATTCTATCTTTCCCAAATCCCAGTATTTTTTTCATTAACATATAATTCCAATTTTCAAAAATAAATAGCAATGACATATCACATAAGAACTCATAAGTCATCAGCACTGTATTTACTAAGGGGTTCTTCATTTGAATCATCATTATGGTGAACTGCTCTCTCCCCTTCCTCCGCTCCTATAGAGTCCAATGTCGGACATTTACTTCAAGATTTATATAAGTTTTAATATATATAGCGTGAGGCGTAAGCCTCATGCCAGTGAGGCGAGGCGGGCTTCAAAGCGGGCCTCAACCAAGTTGAGGCGCAAGCCTCATAAAAAAAACTCGAGGCGTAAGC